TTATTATTATAATCAAAAAGAAGCGCTAAGCCACAAGGGCTATACAGCGCTGCTCTTTACTCATATCTCCCTTAATTCTATGCCTTACTAAAGATTGTAAGTTCCGTATTATCAGTCTTTCCTTTTCTGTATATTTTCGAGTGCATTCATGTCCATTCTGTAATATAAGACCAGAAATAAGCAGTATAATCTTCTATTATGTAGACTTCTTAATATGAAGCCAAGAATTCTATTACTTTTATTGTAAACTCATGTCTTGGCTTTAAATTTCTGCTAACAGAACTTTTAATCTTTTTCTTACTCATTTTGACTAAGACCCACATTGTTTGGCTTATAACTAACCTAGTTATTTCCTTCTCCTAGGCTTAGAACCATACAAGTGTCTGCATTATACAGCATCTGCCACTTTTCAGACCACATTAACCTATCCAGGTCATCCTGTAGTCTTCTAGTGTATCAGAAATTATTTGACAGCCCTTATTAGTGTCATCGGCAAACTTTATGTGGCTATTTGTTCCCACATCAATGTCATTTATGTATTATTATTATAATAAAAGCTAAGTGCTAAACCCATGTCAATTATTTAGACAATGAACATTATTATTATTATTATAATCAAGGGGGAAGCACTAAACCCGTAGGATTATACAGCGCCTATGGGGGGATGGAAGGCATTCAGGCTTAATTCAGGGAACTGGAGCACAGATCCAATTCCCTAGATCAAGAGCCCCTCACCAGCGTCAAGGAGCCTTCCTTGAGGGGTAGACAATGAACAAAGGTCCCAACACTGATCTCGCCTGTTATTCCTGCAACAGTTTGATCATCCAAGGTGACGACTGTCACCTCATTGTAACCTCTCTTCAGTGTGCTATTGGTAATGATTCCAACAAGGCACCCTCTCATGGGTTTATATTGTTGCTAAAGCACACCAGATAGCTTTCACAAGACACTCTTTTTATCCCTCATACCATTCTTTACCTGCATGGCTTCCATATCACTGAACAGGATACTGTCATATTTCTCAGTCTTCTATTTGTTCATTGACTGTCCTAGAAACCAAACAACCTCCTGAAAACTGCTTGTCATAACTGCCTAAACCTCTTCGAAACTAGCCCATTTTTAATGGGCGAGGGTCTGATGGACAATCCTTTCTTTGCCTTCATTCAGTTCTAATTTGATATAAACTGGACTGCTATGACCAACTGTATTCTTTAGTCTCCCTGACTCTCTGCTCATACAGTGGGATGAGAATAATTTTTTTTGGATAGCCTGTAAAACACTAGTCTGAAACTTCTATGAATGTTCAGGTAGGCAGAGATGCAATACATAACAGCCATGCAAGATGGACAGAGGAATAAAGCAAAAGAGCTTGGATATCCATAAAAGCATGTGTGAGGATGTTTTATAGGAGTGAAGGCACATATTTCTATGACTTGATGTGCTGTTGAAGTGTGAGCAAGGAAACATTTATGAAGGGATGCAGGAAAACCAGTTAACCAGACTCGAGTTTTGGTGCCAACATCCTGAAGAAGGGAAGGGGATAGTGCAGTTTGGAAAGGCATGCGAGCTATAATGGCACACCTCTGGCAAGATGATGACAGTGTGATAGAATTTTTTTTTTCAGGCTGCCCTACCTCAGTGGGAGATGGTTGGTGTTAAAAAAAATGAGTCATATTCATGCTTCCTTGAGTTAGCCTCTTCTCTGGTGAAAACTTCCTTAGTGTTTATTGGCGTGAGAGGCGCATACACGGGGTAAAAAAGGGACACTGGGGAGGAGCTGGTGAAGCCAACAAAAGTGGTTAAGATGAAAACAGTTAATGCTGTAAGGAAGTTGCAGTTAATCCCACTTTCCAATGGTAGCATCAAACATTAAATTGACCTCAAGTCAGAAGATATTCTGAGTTGGCTTGTGGTGCAAAAGATTATTATTATTATTATAATCAAGGGGAAGCGCTAAACCCGGAGGATTATACAGCACCTGGGGGGGATATGTGGAAGGCATTCAGGCTTAATTCGGGGAACTGGAGCACAGATCCAATTTCCTAAATCAAAAGCCCCTCACCAACATCAAGGAACCTTCCTTGAGGGGTGGTGCAAAAAAAAAAAAAAAAAAAAAAAAAAAAAAAAAAAAAAAAAAAAAAAAAAAAAAATTGCATAATATTTTTGTGCACATTGCAAATGACCCTCAAATCATGATTTTTGTGATGTACAAAGACAGCCTGAAGGAATTTCTCTTCTACGACACTCTGTCATTTACCAGCACAGACATCTTAATTAAACATATTGAACAATTTTTTTTTTCAAGCATAACCTTTGGTGTTTGAAACTGTTTAGCAGTGTGCACCGAGAGCTTCATTTGTGATGGAAAGTAATGTGGGATTCATCACTCGCTTCAAGACAGAAAATCCCATTGCCATGTTATAATTTAGTGAAGAGCCAAACCCTCTGTTTTAGTAAGTCACTATTGCATTGGAAAAATCTGGCATCTTAATGATGCAATCCCAATTATGATTTTCAAGCTCTGTGATAATCAAAATTAAAGTCATGAACGAAGTGGATTCTCAGCATGACTTGTGTGGTGCTCCATTCAGTATTAACCAAAACTCAGAGATCTCACCCAGAGAATGAAGCAGCATCATGGTAACCACTGAAAAAATCTGATCTTTATTACATACCAAGTTTTGCAATAAAAGTTACATTATTTTTAAAAGGTGTACATTTTGACTAATTAGCATTTAAATTAATTAAATGAACTTAATCTAATAAACAGTATATATATATATATATACAATTTTTTTTTTTCAACAAGTCGGCCATCTCCCACAGAGGCAGAGTGACCCAAAAAAGAAAGAAAATCCCCAAAAAGAAAATACTTTCATCATCATTCAACACACTCACATTATCACTGCTTTTACTTTCATCATCATTCAACACTTTCACCACACTCACACATCACTGTTTTTGCAGAGGTGCTCAGAATACAACAGTTTAGAAGCATATACGTATAAAGATACACAACATACCCCTCCAAACTGCCAATATATATATATTTAGAGAGAATGGATCAAAGTAGAATGACATGGAAAGCATATAAATCTATAGGGGAAGGACAGAGGGGTAGGGGTCGTCCTCGAAAGGGTTGGAAAGAGGGGGTAAAGGAGGTTTTGTGGGCGAGGGGCTTGGACTTCCAGCAAGCGTGCACGAGCATGTTAGATAGGAGTGAATGGAGACGAATCATACTTGGGACCTGACGATCTGTTGGAGTGTGAGCAGGGTAATATTTAGTGAAGGGATTCAGGGAAACCGGTTATTTTCATATAGTCGGACTCGAGTCCTGGAAATGGGAAGTACAATGCCTGCACTTTAAAGGTGGGGTTTGGGATATTGGCAGTTTGGAGGGATATGTTGTGTATCTTTATACGTATATGTTTCTAAACTGTTGTATTCTGAGCACCTCTGCAAAAACAGTGATGTGTGAGTGTGGTGAAAGTGTTGAATGATGATGAAAGTATTTTCTTTATGGGGATTTTCTTTCTTTTTTGGGTCACCCTGCCTCGGTGGGAGACGGCCGACTTTTTGAAAAAAAAAAAAAAATATATATTATAATATAGGGTAGGGGTCGTCCTCGAAAGAGTTGGAGAGAGGGGGTAAAGGAGGTTTTGTGGGCGAGGGGCTTGGACTTCCAGCAAGCGTGCGTGAGCGTGTTAGATAGGAGTGAATGGAGACGAATGGTACTTGGGACCTGACGATCTGTTGGAGTGTGAGCAGGGTTATATTTAGTGAAGGGATTCAGGGAAACCGGTTATTTTCATATAGTCGGACTTGCGTCCTGGAAATGGGAAGTACAATGCCTGCACTTTAAAGGAGGGGTTTGGGATATTGGTAGTTTGGAGGGATATGCTGTGTATCTTTATACGTATATGCTTCTAAGCTGTTGTATTCTTAGCACCTCTGCAAAAACAGTGATAATGTGTGAGTGTGGTGAAAGTGTTGAATGATGATAAAAGTATTTTCTTTTTGGGAATTTTCTTTCTTTTTTGGGTCACCCTGCCTCGGTGGGAGACGGCCGACTTGTTGGGGGGGGGGGGAATTATATATATATATATTATATATTATATATATATATTATATATATATATATATATATATATATATATATATATATATATATATATATATATATATATATATTATATATATATATATATATATATATATATATATAAGGCAAGCTTTCTGGGGAAAAAATTGTGTTTAGGGTCATGATTCTGAAAAAAACATACAAGATTTTAAGTACATCTTCCTACTTCTACTTACACTTAGGTCACACTACACATGCACATCCAGTTTGGAGGAGTATGTTATATCTTCATATATGCTTCTAAACTGTTGTATCTGGGCACCTCTGCAAAGACAGTGATTATGTGTGAGTGAGGTGAAAGTTTTTTCTTTTTGGGGATTTTCTTTCTTTTTGGGTCACCCTGCTTCAGTGGGAGATTTCCAACTTGTTGCCCCCCCCCCCAAAAAAAAAAAATGAATTATAAACATTAGTATACACCCCTCTGGGTTTTCTTCATTTTCTTACTGGTTTTTGTTCTTATTTATTCCCAATTATCTCCATGGGAAAGTGGAACGGAATTCTTCCTCCGTAAACCATGAGTCATGAGATAACATGCCAGGAGCAAGGGGCTAGTAACCCCCTTCTCCTATATACATTACTAAAGTTAAAAAGAGAAACTTTTGTTTTTCCTTTTGGGCCACCCTGCTTCAGTGGGATACAACTGGTTTGATGAAAGATCCTGAAAAAGTTTGGGAAACTGCTGTACCATTTACTATCAGATCTTATAATGTCAACTTTCACATGTATGAAAATGCTATGCCAACAACATAATTTTAAGGATTTGCATAGGTACAGAGAAAACCAAAACACTGTACATTCAAGTACATCAGGAACTTTGTTACAAAATAATATGTTTAGGAAATTTAAATAAAATACAAAATTCCAACCAACCTTTACTTTCAATACCAGTGCATACAATTCAACAGTACCAAATGATCACAAGATGGTTTACATTCCCCAAACTTTCCCCACTTCAATTCACTGTTTATCAAGCCAGCAAGAAGAACTGGCATAAAAAGCTTAAATTGTCCTAAATATCAACATAATTTGCATTTTATAGCTCAAAATAATCAACATTTTTTATTGAATAATATTGTTTCTGCACTTAAAAAAGGGAAAATAATTTTTTTTCCTAAATTACATTATCTTTTGAAAAATTACAGCAAAATAAAAATGCAAAAAACAATCCAGGTATTCCATAAAATATGCCTATGGACAACTGATATTAATATTCCCAGTCATCTCAACTGATTTCTGGATTAGTGTTCCCTTTATCCCAATCACCTAACAATGACTCAAGTTACTTTATTGACTCTTATCAGTCCTGACTTCAACTAACAAGACTTATCTTCCAAGCCTAAATATACCACTGTGCTCCATTTTTTATGCTATTTTGCAGGAAGAAAGCCATACGACATCACATGTTCGAAATCTTTACAGCCAGTCATATAGATTCATAAGTAAACTGTTCCAACCATTCCAGGACTAGGTTTTGAAAAATGATGCTGCAGGCTAATCATCACACAAAATATCTAATTTGGGTATTGATATAGGCCAATCCCTAAATTCTCTTTGTGGGCACATGCACACAAGTATTAGGACTTTTCCCTGTGAACACTAAAGTATTTAAGTTTTGAATTATTATATTAAACATGGCAACACGTGAAAGTATAATTTACACCAATTAGGATATTTATAATTTCAAATCCAGATAACCATTTCAGTAACTGGATTGGTCTTTTATAATTCAGACATAAATTAGTTATGTATATAAACAGTATATGAATTACATTAATAAGTATTTTAAATTTCATGAGTAGGTACAAATACTCACAAAAATAATTCAGAGTTTGGGATGTAAGCTACATGACATGAATTCACACAACGTAACATCTCCCAACAAGTTTGTTGTCTTTTGGAGGTTAGTATTGTAACTTGCTTAAATTTTGCTGCTCAAATTATATGTATTCAAACTTGCTTGGGTTAATTAACATTTCAGTATTGATACAACAATCACTTTCAAGATAAGTATTTGTGGAAGTAGAACAGGAAATTACATATTTCTGATTTCTGCCTTAACTGAACACTATCAAACTTAAAGATTTCCTAGCAATAAAAGATTACATACATTTTTTAATTCTCAAGATTTACTGCCGTTTCTTTCACTAGCGTGACTATGACTGATATCTGAATAAATTTTACAGCTTGGAATTTTTAAATTTGATATGACAAGTAAAAATTACCCAGTGGTTAAATCTATTTCTTAAATCTACAAAACTTCAACAATTTACTCTGAAAATATTCCTAGTCTTGCAGAAAGTACAATCAAACAGGAATCCTACATTATGTATTAATAACCTAAAAGTAATTTACATTACATATAAATCATAGGACTTGCAAACAAGTTTTTCTTAAGCATCTGTTCTTCTCTCACAAAACTTTATCAATTAATGTTTATGTTTTAAGCATAACATCAAGGAGGGGCCCATTCAATAACTGCAAGAAAAATTAGTTACTTGGTGCTGTCCAAGGAAGACAGCTTATTATTTATCAGAATATGTACTTATAAATCAGGAGTCTAATGTATTTAAAAGCATTTATGTTTTATGGTCAAAATTCCTAAGTGTCTTGGAGGGCTCATGAATACACTCTGGCTCATGAATATTGACCATCTGCAAAAAACCTCTAGCAATTATTATACCCACAGAAATACATGCTGATCAGCACTCAGGTGAAGAGCATTCAAAATACTAAAATACCCAACAAAATATTTTAAAATGGAGGCTTTGGGCTACAAGTAAACAAAAAAAAAAGGGATACAACAATTTACAACTTGCCAACTTTTCAGTTTCAAGTTGAACATTTCCAAATATGGATTATGACTGTAAATTTACTCTGCCTTAGTATACACAGTAATAATTTATTTTTTTCCTTATCAAGACTCAGAGTTGTTGAGCATTTCAACACTGAGTAGATAAACATACATATAATCTAGTTGAAACATGAGGCAAAAATCTTACCTCTGCTAGACCTACTATTATTATTATTATTTATTTATTTCCTAATGCTATGATGCAAGTAGCTATTTAATTTTCAGTTGCAAGTACAGTATACAATATACACTTTAGCAGTCTGGCAATGCTGGTCCAGGACTGAAAGAGCAATCCTATTGTTGGGGAAGGCAGTGCTCACCTTACTTTCTTTATTACCTTGTAATATAACCTTTACATATCAAAAGTTCTCATTTAAGGGAATATAATAATTATACCAAACATTATAATCTAAGTTTTGCTGCATTGATAAGCATTGCAGCCCAACACAAGAACTAACCAAGCCAAGATGCAAAACACTGCCACAATGCAGCTGTTGTGAACACAACCTTCCACCAACAAGGATTCTGACCTAAACTCTTTGACATTTTACTAAAAATGTTAACTTGGTTAACATGACCTCACTCCAATCAATGGCTTGTGGGGTTATATTATAAATAAGTAGCAAATAGTAATGTGCATGATAGGACTGAGAGTTCCATTAGCTGGATATGACACTAAGTTAATACACAAACATGGGCCCCTCACTGAAACACAGACATGTTGCAAGATAATGTAACAAAAATGTTTTGTTCCCATTACACTATGGGTATGATAAGTCCTCCTAAGTAAATTAGTGAATATATTTTCCATTAAATAAATTCCATCCTTGAATATTACATTAGCAATCAGAAAAGTTTTATGGGCATCATAACTGATAACACAGTAGCCAGAGAAACTACAAGATCTAATTATTTTTATCATTAATATTCTAATTCTCTGTTCAAAATAAATTAAAGCATTTATGAAGCAATAAATTAACACTTCAAGTACTATATGGCAATTGTACTTGGAACAAAATGCCTGTTTCTGAACTTTAAATCCAATTAACATCCACAATGTAAGTTTAAAGTGATATTATTCGCAAATATCCTCACCGAAATAGACCAATCGGTAACATATTCACCCGCAAGTCATTCGCCTATATACCACTGTATTAGAGCACTATTTAGTTTAGGCCATATTATATATTGTTCAAAAAAGTAATTAATGAATTCTGCAAAAGTCAACTATGTCTTTTTTATACAAAAACCATGGCACACTGAATTCATAGTTGAAGAGGAAATAAAAGTGATATTTTTTCATCATCATGAGGGCACAAGCATCAGTACCCAATTAAATGTCAGAAAGTTGCATTATCAAAGAGGTTTAGCTTTAATGCAAATTCAGGAAAGAGAACATTAATACAATACCTCTATTATTCAAAACCAGGTCATCATATTCTTCCAAAACCTGGTTAAGCACAATCCAGATTACTGAAGAATTAGATATCTATACAGTGCTTTCCTAAGGTTGGAGTAACATTTAGTTTTTCAAGAATAGGTCACTCACAGTTTGAAATATCCAAGACCAAGCAAACCAGAATGTTGAATGTCAAGAACATCAACTTTTAATATGTTTTAATTAATGTTTGTTCAAGAGGTTTGGAAAAAAAAAAAACTGACATCCTCGACAATCATGCAATGCTACTTAACCAGATTATGGAAATCCTGGCGATTATTAAGTTACAAAGACAACCATCCTTCAACACCTACAATGGAACAATAACATGTTCAAAGTACCATGTACAACAATAAAGATCATACCAATTAGGATTTCCTCCATCCTAAACACTGGTGAGTTTTTACAAGATACCTGTGTGTTCTTAAAAAATGCACGTTTGTTGAGAAACATGACAAAATCAACTTGGCTTAGGTCAATGCATGGGAATTAATAATTTTCCTCATTTAAGTTGCAGCCATGTTCTACTAAGGAAACTAAAATTTACATAAGTTTGGTTTCAGTCTCCAATACTGTATCATTCCTATTTTGGGCTAAGTAACCCAATAAAACCCTGAATTGTATGTATGTTGGGGGATTTAACCATTGAACTGAAATGAATCTTTGTTCAGGATTCACTATCATTCCTACAAAGCTGTCTGTGGTAGTGGTAGTGTCACTATTTCCAAACTTCAACCACAAACTTGCCAAATACAAACAAATCTCTTTCTTAAAGTGTCTCCATTACCATTTTAACAATATAACAGTCATATAAAAATAAAAATTCTTCTTCATATATACTTCGTGTCTAACAGCAGCAGAGAGGGTAGCTGGCAACTTTCATGGCATGGGTTGTCAGTTTCTCCAGCTGCCCACCTTGTACTTTCTGGGAGTACATTGGAGATGAGATCAGAGATTATGAACTCTTAGTACACCATCGCAAAGGCCAATTATCTTAATGACAAATACTTGTAGCCTAAATGATGTGCTACAAAAGGCTCATAACCACTAATTACATCACAATAGAGCTTCTCTAACATCACAGACAGATCTGAGAGGTGTAATTCTTAGTCTCATACTGGTATTTTAAAGCTATGCTCCTGTCTATAAGAGGGGTTCAAAAATGTTGGTGTGCACAATAAAGGGCTAAACAGAAATTTATCTTGAATGAAATATTACAAAAAATACACTGTTCAGTAAAATACAGATTATAAATGAAGTAGAAGACAGTATATTACTAAGATATGCAATGAATCTTTAATCATTTTGATGATGCAATTTACCAAATCAGTTACTCCAAAAAAATATTTTGAAAATTTTTTTTATTACTGTATCTACTTCCCAGTAATTGACATAAATGTTTGATTTTTCATTCACAACTGCAAAATATAATTACTGTACTGTATTTCACGTGTGGGCTCTTATTTAACAAACAAATTCATACTTGAAATACACACTCACATTCTTAATGCATCAATAGTCACTTTACCTTTATTGATGACCTTATTTTTTTGTTCCACCTCCCTGACAGTATCATAAGCCCAAGTCACTAGTTACTGTGGTGACTTTCAGATATGGCAGTCATGGTATAACATTAGCAGATATGGGGGCAGCCAAGATGGTATTTGTAGCAGCAATGTGGCAATGGCAGTGGCAGTGGCACAGAGATGGTTGCTGACAAAGAGAGGTGGCCATTTAGGATGAAGGGGTGTAAAACTTGGGAAGAAGGCCCTTATTGTGTTGTACTGTTTGCTACATTATTTTAGGAATTGTGCCTGTTTATCAGACTTCATGTAGCTAGTGATGTACTAATCCTATCAGGTATCAGTATTTGAATCAATCCTAAGCTAGATGTAAAGTAAGGGTACTAGCTGCTCAGGCCATAAACCCATTCTAAATAACCTCCTCTATTTGTTTACATCAAACTGTGCCTTACTCAAGGATGGATACATTAACACCAGAGTCTGGACTCTTGAGGCCGCTGGAAGAGTGACTCTGAGGGGTATGGGGAGGGTATGGAGTTAGGCTTTCCCCGTCCTGTCCCACTGGCAAATGATTGTCATATCCACCACCTGGCATTACCAGCATGTCCCTCATGCCCACAGTACGGCTGCAACAGAAAAAATAAAGTCAACATGGTACCAGATTATGTGAAAACCTAAGAATGGCATTATAATTTCTTTAATATAGTAAGATGATGTAAAGTAGCTACAATGTGAAACTGATGTTACTGAGTCATACATTAGGAAATGAACTATACTGTGGTAAATACAATTTTCTCTTTCTTAATGGAAGAATATAGTAGACCATATCATTAAACAATAACAAATTGTGAACAGGTATCAAGCCAGTGTAACACTGTACCTACTAAAGAATAAGTCAGGATACCTCAGATGGAAAAATTCACAACAAACTCTCACATTAGAAATGAAAATTGGATATATGTAGCTTGGATGATTTATCACCCTATCACCTTGACCTAGATAGCATTTTCTTATAATACTAATAATAATAATAATAATATTTTTTTTTCAACACACTGGCCATCTCCCACCAAAGCAGGATGACCCAAAAAAGAACTGCACTCTCACCATCAAATAAAGCATAATCACCATCTCTGCAGAGGCACCCAGATACGATAGTTTAGATGTCACTCCTAACAGCCAATATCCCAAACCTCTCGTTTAACCCTTTGAGGGTCGACAGGCCCTCTCCGAAACTCGTTCTCAGGGTCGGCCAAATTTAAAAAAAAAAAAATTATTTTCTCTTATGAAAAGATAGAGAATCTTTTCCCGATCATAAAGACACCAAAAGTTTGAAATTTGATAGAAAACTTACGGAATTATGCTCTCGCAAAGTTAGCGGTCTCGGCGATGTTTAAGCATCGGCGATTTTGCCCACTTTGAGCCCCATTTTCGGCCAATTTCACTGTACTAGTCGACAAAAAACGTGAATATTTCGCTAGAACTCCATTTTTTCTATCGAATGGGTACAAGAAACCACCCATTTATGAAATTCAACTATCCAGTACAGTGGTCAGAATTTAGCAATTTTGCCAATTTCACACAAATTTCAAAAGATGCCAATTTCCGAATAGGGTCCAGAATAAACAAGAAAGACATTCCTGGCACTAAAATGACATTTCCTCTAGTCATTAGTCACATCTCAAGGCCCCTCTTATATTCTTTTGCTTTCCACTTTGAATTTTTATTCTCACAAAAAATATAAGATTTACTGTTATGCAGACTACTGCATTAGTGTAAAAAATGGTATAAATATTATTGGTGCACTTGTGAAAGAATATTAGACTCACCAGTTGACGTGTATTGCACGCTTGGCACGATTTGTTTACTTTTGAAGTTTGGTAAAAATCGAACATTTCTGCTACTTTGAGCTCAATTTCAAGGCACCTTTCATTGTAAAACCAGTCAAAATCATCTCAATTTCTGTAATATGTCTTCCATTCTATAAAATGAGTCCAAGAAAACTAGAATACAACAATAAATACCATACGAAAATACACTGCAAAGTCGCTGATTTATTCCAAAAAAATGGTCAAAGTTTTTTTTTTCTCATTATGCACTGTGTGCTGCAGGATTTCTTTTAGACTGTGCACACTGACCACATAGACCCATTCTTTCATATGAAGGCCTACCAGCTTTCTCCCACTAGATTTGAGGCCGCTAGAATTTATGCGTACTAGTACGTCAAAAACCCCTACGCGTAAGACGTACTAGTACGACCAAAACCCTCAAAGGGTTAAAGTGCAGGCATTGTACTTTCCACCTCCAGGACTAAGTCCAGCTAACCAGTTTCCCTGAATCCCTCCACAAAATATTACCCTGCTCACACTCCAACAGTTCGTTAGGTCCCAAAAACCATTTGTGTCCATTTACTCCTATCTAACCTGCTGTATGTTCAAGCCCCCATGCACACAAAACCTCTTTTACCCCCCTCCCTCCATTCTTTCCTAAGATGACCCCTACCCCTCCTTCCCTTCACTACAGATTTATACACCATCCAAGTCATCCTATTTTGCTCCATCCTCTCTAAATGACCAACCTCAACAACTCCTCTTCAGCTCTTTGAATAGTACTTTTATTAACTCCATACCTCCTAATTTCCACACTATGAATTATTATTATTATTATTATTATTCTTTCAACAAACTGGCTGTATCCCACTGAAGCAGGGTGGCCCAAAAAGAAAAAACAAAAGTTTCTCTTTTTAACTTTAGTAATGTACACAGGAGAAGAGGTTACTAGCCCCTGGCTCCTGGCATTACAGAGGAAGAATTCTGTTCCACTTCCCAATGGAGACATTACGAATTCTCTGCATAATATTTACACCACACATTGCCCTTAGACATGACATCTCCACTACTTCCAGCCAACCCCATACTGCAGCATTTACAACTCATGCTTCACACCCATATAAGATTATTGGTACCAATATACTCTCGTACATTTCCTTCTTTGCTTCCATGGATAACATTTTTTGTCTCCATAGATACCTCAATGTACCACCCACCCTTTTTCCTTATAATTTCTATGGTTAAACTCATCCTTCATAAACCCATCTGCTGATAAGTTTACTCCCAAATATCTGAATACATTCACTTCCTCCATTTTCCCTCCTTCCAATGTGATATCCAATTTTTCTTTACTTAACTCATTTGATCCCCTCATCACCTTATTCTTATCTATGTTCACTTTCAACAATAATGAGATTTTATAATTCTTTATAATTCCTGAGTGTCTGTTCTTCTGAGAAATTCAAAGGTGCTCACACATCAAACCATATATACAACAGCTAAGATAAAAAGAGAATATTAAGGTTTATATTCAGGAAAGACAGTATGATCATCAGGATCATAAGCACTAAGAAAAGAGAGAGAGGTGTGTTTTCAAATGAGATTTAAAAGCATGAACATATTCCTGACAAATACACACTGGTAACCTGTTATAGAGGGTCCCAAATATACAGCATATATTTTTGCTGTTCCATGTTTTACTTGTCTTTCAACTGAGCCATTGTTCCACCCACCAGTGACAATCGCCAGTAGGTGGAACATAATGAACAATGGCTCAATTTGAAGCCAATGAAAACGTAGAACACTGAAAAGAAGATGCTGTATATGCAGAAGAACTATACAATCTGGGAACCGCATAACAATTGGCCCTGTGTGCAAATGATTTCTCCGATAGCATGAGGCTCAGTCAGTCTGAAAGAGCCTGCAGAAATTCATAGAAACATTACAGAGCCCTACAGGAAAGATACAAGCATATCAGGAAGATACTTTGGTTTTATAAACTTAACAGACTAAAATGTTAATAAACCAAGGTTGAATTAAAATCTTGCCTTGACAGGGAAGGGATTTAGGGAAACTGGTTAGCCGGACTTGAGTCCTGGAAATGAGAAGTACCTCTGCAAAGACAGTGATTATGTGTGTGTGAGGTGAAAGTGTTGAATGATGAAAGTATTTTTCTTCTTGGGGATTTTCTTTCTTTTTTGGGTCACCCTGACGGTGGGAGATGGCAACTTGTTGAGAAGAAGAACAGCAAGAACTCCAGGTGGGAGCATAAATACCAGTCTAGCTGCATGATTAGTACAGACTGAAGCCTTAGGCAAGTAGGAAAACCCACAAACAATTATAAAATCAATTAAAGGAAATAGACACATGGACAAGGACCACAACACTGCATATCAAGATTACAAATATGAAAACAGCTGTGGCATGCAAAGAGTACGTAACCTTTATTCGGCGCATGTACACACCCTCATTTACAGGCTATCTCCCCCAACCAGCGAACCAGGTTGCTATGAGTTGATGATGGGGCCCCGTCGTTCAACTAGTGACCAGGTTCTAGCCAATAAGAAGATGGTTTTGGCAATCGCAGAGGTTATGTGGGTACCGCTCTCCTGTCTGCCCTTGTCATTCCCATTCTAGAGCTGGTTGAAGCACGGTCTGCTATCTTGTGGCTTCTATTTCTGCCTTGCTTACCATGGAGTGCACTATACTTATCACTGTACATAGTGTACATATTGCTGTTCTAAATTGGTGAAGGATAATATAAGTCTAAACTTTTTCTGCTGTGTTTATTTTGCTCCCATTACACCCGGGATAACAGGCCATTTGGAATCCTGGGTTGTAATATGGGGCCTGTCCGGGATTTGGAGCTGGACTTAGAGAAACGGTTGAGCTTAGGGTGAAGCTCGTAGCAAGAGCACTGTGCAGCTTGCTGTCTGGCATTGCTTTACAAATTTTGCATGTCAGTTGCTTTATGGTCAGCCTTGCTTGTGTGATTGTTCAACAGCTCGCTACTAGCTTGTTCGGTGTGCTCGCTTCGCTACGGTCAATCTTCTAGAACAGTGTAGCTGCCTGGCATTGCTTTACAAATTTTGCGTGTCAGTTGTTACTACCCTGTTCGGTGTGGAGAATTTTTCAGTCGGCTTTGCTTGTATGTGTATTCTGCAATCGTACTGTGCATAGCTAAGCGTGTTCTGCAAATTAACGTGTTACGTTGGGGTATTCTGCAATCGTACTGTGCATAGCGAATAACTTATGCCACCTAGACGAGTCAGACGTCTGGTGTCGGCATATACTTTGCATAACCTACCTAAATTGTCCCTACAGCGTTGTTGGCAAATTGCTCATTCCATTGGCATTAAATACAAACACACTCTCACAGTTGCGCAACTGCGTTCACTGATTGCTAACAAACTTATAGAAGAAGAGATGGCACATCAGACTCCTCCCTCTACGGGAGCAAGGGCAAAAACTACAATGTTCTCGCAGGAGGAAGATGATACACCTATGGAGCAAAATGGTCAGTATAGTGCAGCTGGGTTGTCTCAAAGTGAATCAGCGTCGTTGGCACTTGAGCTGGCAAAAATCAATCTTGAGCAAACTAGGGAACAGAGAGCATTCGCAAGGGAAGAATTTGATAGGGAAAGAGAAAGGAGGCAGTTTTCGCATTCTGTAAATGATTTTAGTTTACAAAAAAGCAGTACAGCTTCTTGCCCGCTTCAATGAGGCCGAACCAGAGCAATTTTTCGAAAGCTTCGAAAATCAGGCTCGAGCCTTGAGGTGGCCGGAACAGTATTGGG